GTTTGCTTAATTATTTTCTACTTTATCGATCTATTTTAAGTTTTCCTGTGCAAGTTGTACTTTTAAATTTGTTGATTTGTTTTTCATTTTTGACCGACTGACACATGATTTTTCCAACTTGCTATATTGTAGGTTCTAATATCTGGGAAGGAAGAACCAGAGGCTCTGTTGCCTCCTGCCATGGATGCTGTGATAAGAATATTTAAGAGTCTCCATGGACTACCTGATGGTGAAGCCCCTGATGCAGCTGGAGCTGCATTTTGTTTGATTCGATTAATTGTGGCATCAGCACAAGCCACGAGTTTAATAGGAAAACAAGGCTCTGTGATCAAGTTGATTCAGGAGGGCTCCGGTGCCTCTGTGAGGGTTCTCTCCAATGGTATTTTAATTTCCTTTCATAACCTGAATTTTATTGCTTGAATCATGTCCATATCTCCCCCCTTCATTTTGTGAGAATGATTTGGGTAGACTTTTTGACAGAAGAATCCGGAATAAATTAAAAACATTTTGTCCACGCATTGGAGAACACATGTTTTTCATTTTTAAAAAATTAATGGAAATGGGATAAACAACATGTGTCTGCACATCTTGGAAAACATAGCAGAATTTGCAGATGCAACCTAACCCGCTCTGATTGATCTGTTCAAGGTTTAGTTGTCTTAATTTAACATTAGTAAATTAACAATATGGTTACTATCTGAACGTTACTCTGCTGGGCTTATGAGGAGATGCAGAAATATCTTCTCTATAAAAATATTTTCTTTAAGAAAATTTAAATGATTTAATTAACATGTATATAGTGCATGCAAGATTTTTATAACAACTAAAATTTCAGGGGCATTGGTGCATTGAACTGTTAAGAGATACAAAAGACATTCTGCAGTTATTTTAAGACAGTTGTTCATTCTGAAATTGATATATGATGCTTGACATTTTTGGTTGCAGATGAATTGCCAATTTATGCCAGTTCTGATGAAAGGATTGTTGAGTTACATGGGGAAGCTCTCAAGGTTCTTAAAGGTTTAGAAGCTGTGCTGGGGCACCTGAGAAAATTCTTGGTGGATCATACTGTTCTTCCCCTTTTTGAGAAGAATGTAAGTATGATCCTTTTTGTTTTCGGTGATCCATGATCATGTCACTCTTATTCTATTTATGAATTGTTTATTTACCTTCTTCTACAGTATAATGCACCGGTCTCTCAGGAACGACAAGTAGATGCTTGGTCTGACAAGACATTGCATTCTTCTACTTCAGACACAGCAATTGACACTGATTACCCTCTTACAGTGAAGAGGAATTCTCTATTTCTAGATCGTGATAGCCTGATGGAATCAAATATTACTCCTTCTAGGCTTTCCTTGTATGGACCAGAGTCTGGCCTTGACTTTCGTATTTCAGCAATGGGGCGTGCTGGTAGGCCTGTTGTTACTCAGGTGTGTAACTGTTCACATGTTGATTTACTGCTAAACTATTCACATTTGTCTTAGTTAGCATGTGCATTGTATACTTATTCTGTTTCTCCAGACTTGGAGATTTAAAGAACACCCTTGAATATGAAATACAATTAATGCTGAACTTTAGCAGTAGCATTTATAGTTGTCTCCTCTCTCTTGGTGTTTTGTTTTTCCCTGTGATATGTAGATTTAGCACCTGAGGGGGGAAAGTCTGTTGAAGAAAAATATAAAGAAATGGTGGGACAAATTAATGGGATGTCTGGATATCATATTCTTGTTATGACAATAGCTGCCTTACCTTTCAAGTAAAACTGTGGAGGTTCTGTGGGTGTCATTTTCCATTTTTTCAACCACTGTGTCGTTTATTTCTGCAGTAGAGTGTTTCATTTGAGAAAATCATAAAGTTTAGATTGCAAAGAATTCTTTTCATGGATAAAGAAAAGTTATGTGAGTGGAGGCAAAGGATGTGTCTGTCACAAGAGGCAAGAAGTGTGTTCACTACTGGGATTAACAGTTCTAAGGCTTCGGATTGAATATGAGGGCACAAACTATTTTGATATGTTAGGTTTTTCACTATCCAGGGTCAAAATCAGAGCTGAGCTTTTCAGTAGACCTCACGCTTAGCTTTCCAAATCTAAAATTTTATCTAAGCAGGTCCATATGCAGGTTGTTGCACATAGAACAAATTTGTTAAACTCCTTTACATGTTATATATTCATTAACAACTTGCAGGACATACTTGTTCACCTCTGCTGGTGTTAATATATGATATCTTGATTCCTTTGTGTAGATTGCCCAGACAATGCAAATACCACTCGCTTATGCCGAGGATATAATCGGGGTTGGGGGAGCAAATATTGCCTATATTCGACGGACTAGTGGTGCTATCCTCACTGTGCAAGAAAGTAGAGGCCTGCCTGAGGAAATCACTGTGGAAATAAAAGGAACTTCTTCACAAGTCCAAGCAGCTCAGCAACTAATTCAGGTAGATATCTCCTTTCGCCTCTCTATCTTCACTAACCTTTTCCAAATTGAGAATGACGCCTAGTTTTGCTTTAATTTATCTCAACCATGACGATCACTGCAAAGCTTAGAAAAGCACGTTGCTGCAACTTTTTACATTACCGATGTCCAAGAGAGTTAGTTAGATAACAAATTTCCAACCTATTGCTTGAATAGCAAGTCGGTTCCCAACCTTTAGAAGTGAGCAAGTTGGTCCCTATCATTTTATAGCCCCTGTTTGAGCCCCATTTTTCCAAGAATGCATTTTTTCAAATTTCATTTTCAACCACATATTCTTCCATAAAATAATTATACACATATTTCAAAAATATTTCATTACTTTTTAACCATACATTCTCTCAAAAATCACTGTTTCAAAATGTATTTTACTCCAAAAATGGGGATCAAACAGGGGCTATTATTACAGGTGCACAGTCAGTTCATCTCTATTAAATCGTCATGAGACCTTTACACCTCCAACTTTCTGAATCTAGATTTTGTTTCCCAACTTAGGCTAGCTCCCAAAACTTTGATGTGAGGTATGTTTCCACGCAGTCATGTTATGGTTTTTTGGAGATTCGGATGCTTACAACTATAATTAAGGCCCTGTTCGGTAGGGATTTTGAGAATTGTTTTCTTGATAGTTAGAAGAAAAGTAGGGGCTACATGTGAGAGAAGAAGTCAAAAATTATGGCTGGAGTAGTGAAATAACGGTCAAAAAATCAATTTTTTGGGATAAAAAATCACTCCCAAACACCTCCTAAATGTTGGGGACGCAATTGTTACTGGGATAATAGGTTTAGGACCAATTGTGTTATTTCCCCTTTTCATTATTTCCATTTACAATCTTGGAAGATAGGGTAATTACTTTGCACCCTATCTTTGACTCTGCATGGTTGTAGTATTGAAAGGATTGCCTTCACAGATGAGTTTTTAATTCTGTATTTCTTTACTAATCAGATGTAGTTAAGACTAATTTTAAAACCGCCGTCTTATCCAGGAGTTCACAAGCAGTCATAAAGAATCACTTCCAAGCAGTTACGGCCAGCTGGAGTCGACTTCGCGGCTTTCCTATGCTCATTTAGGTAGTAACTCTTACTCATCATCATCGTATGACAGACAACCTTATGGTGACTACAGATCATCTGGTATTGGAGGATATAGTGGTTACAGACTGTGAATGGGTAGGCAGAACAATCTTATGGTGATTATCCATCCTCTGGTGTTGGAGGATTAGTATCTTTTTAGGCTATATGAATGGATAGGCCGAATTCTTGGTTCTTGTCTTTCTTCCTATCCTTTCAGTCATTTTCAGATCCTGGTGTAAGTATCTGCAGATTTTACCTTGAAAAAACAAATATATATCTTTATAGCTTGTTTATTGTTGATATTTGTGATTATTTGAGCGTTTTAAGGAAATTTGGCCTCAATATTATTACATTTTCGAGCTGTTAATTGCCGGGTTAAAATTTTGCTCTAATCAACTACTTCAACCAGGAAAAAAGTTGAGATAGGGAAGAAAGTGGCCTGAACTGAAGCAATTTTTTCCTTATATTTCATATTTATGGAATGGACGACGCCCGTCTAAGTTGGGCCTACCCCCCAAGATGTCAATGTAGCATGTTAATAATGTTAGCTTTGTTTTAAATTATCATCTGCTGCTACCTATGTTTTTTAGGCCATTGAGTCGGCCCGTCTAGGGTCTTGGCTGGACTTACGCGGTTAATTTCGTCTGACGTCACTATATTTTCACATCAAATTTTAATTGGGACACATATTTCACTTAAACTATCCTACTCTAATGTCTAATTATCATGGGTGGGCTTCTTTATTAGTTTCTTAGGCAGGAATAAGAGGTTTCTATAATGTAATTTGGATACTTTTTTCCAACAGTGCAACTATAAATGATATTGAAGACCAAATTATTATATTTTTTTCAAAAATTAAGCTCCTGTTCGAGTCCCAATCTTTGAAAAAAAATACATTTTTAAATAATATTTTGACAATATTTCAATCACACATTTTTTAATAAAATGATATTATACACAAATTCAAAATTTTTTATTTTATTTTATTTTTTAACCACACATTTCTTATCAATTCATTATTCAATATATCATTCTTATAAAAAGAATGAGGCTCAAACAAGGGCTAAGAACGAACTTGCTACTTAATAATGATTTAGAAGAAGATGGCGAGATTTCAATTTGATTCATTAGGACATTGGAACATGACAATGATAATTTCATGAGTAATGTTATTTAGCGGTATTAATTCATACATATTTTTAAATGAATTTTAATATTCATATATCTTAGATAATAAGATCATCAATTTATGTGATAGTAATGTCAATGTCACATTGTTCAATATATAAAAATATATTTGAATTTCATTGTATAAAATAATGCCTATTAATTGTCACCTATTCTAATTTATTTCCTGCTCTCCAATGTATTTCAAAGATTGTAATCTAAGTGACATCAAATAGAAGGTTTAGACTTTACTTAGCTTTGTTTGACAATTATTATTTGAAAAAAGCAATGTTTAGAATAATGATTTTTAAAAGAATGTAAAATTAAAAAGTAAAAAATAAATTTGAATTTATATATAGAATATTTTATTTTATAAATGTGTGATTAAAAATAAATAATAAGAAGGCGGATTAGTGGCTATGAATGAGGATATAAATGAGTGCATGCAATTGACCTCCACAGAATTAATTAATGTAATGTGGGGTAAGCATGGCGTGTAATGAAAAAATCCATCTTTCAAATTAATATTATAAAATAAAAAAATCTTTCACTAGGCAAGAGTATGATACAATTAACAATTAAGCCTACAGGCCTAGTCGCATGGGATATTATTTTCTTGGGCAGAAAAAGAAAATGACACTTAAATGAAAGAAAATTGGGTTTACGTAAAAGTTGACATAATATTATTTTACGATACTAGAGAATCTGGTGCGGAAGAAATTCATAATTTTATTTTTTCTACATCTTTATTTTTTTTTTCATATATGTTTTTTCTTGTTAATATTTCTTTGATCGAAGATTGGGTGGGCTGTCTCGAATTCTATAAAGTTTGATTTTGACGTTTTCGATACATTTTCATGAGTTTGATAGTTTTACCTTTTTCTAAAAAGTCAGTGTGCAAGTCACCTTATCAATGGCGAATTAAACAGAATATGTCATTGGAGAGTAGACGTTGCCAATTTATGGAAGGATAGTCTTGGGGGACATGATTGCAACATCCTCAAAGGTTTGGACTAAATATTCAAGCCTACAGTAAGTGGTGTCAAAATAGATAATGCATAAATTGGAATGGACCATGAGCTTACTTGAATTAATTGGTGAGAGAGACGTGGACACCGTTATGAACATCCTGATGTACGTGTAACATTAATCATAAAATTTTAAGTTGATAGCTATAGTCGGGTGGGCAACAGGTCCGGCCGGGCCAATTTTGGTCCATTTAGATGGCCTTGAATTAATTAGCCTATTTTGACATATCTAAGCTACCCCGCTTAGTCCGTGTCCCTGCCTCAACTAGATCCAATCCATTTTTCTATTGTAAATTTTTTTATTATTTTTTTTAATGAGGTAAAAATTTTATTTTTTACCTTTTTTTATTCGAACAAATATGATGCTCATTTTTGTACTTATCTATTTAGGAAATTGTTTCAACGTCCCTCCCTGATTTATAACTCTATGTTAGATCCTGATGTGAGGAAATTAGTACGTCATCATTTGCGTCATCACTCCCCCTTAACCCACGGCCACGCCACCGCGACCACGCACCTCAGTTGAGCTTTCCCTTTGCAGTCATCGTCTTCTCTGTCTCTGTCTCTCTCTCTCTTCTGACTCGAAATCACATCGGTTTGTTTATATATTTATATAATTTCCATCTCCATGTAATGGATTAATTTTCTTCAACCCTTAACTTCAATTGAATTGCCTATTTGAGTATTTTTCATTCGTGATAATCACAGATACATGTATGATAGCATAAGATAGTAGTATTAGATTTTGTCAATGGACACTCGAACGGGTTTTTCGGATTCCAACGAAGTCAGTGGTGGGAGCAGCAGCATATGCTGCGTGCGGAACACCGAATCATCCCTTCCCCCCGCCGCACCGCCTCAGATGGAGGACGTCGAAGCCCTCAATCGCCTCTCAAACACCCTCGCTTCGATCTTTTTCTGCAAATCATCGCCGCCGGACTTTGATTTCTTCTCCGATGCTAAATTGGTGGCGGCCGGCGGCCGAGAAATTCCAGTCCACCGTTGCATCTTGTCGGCTAGGAGTCCGTTCTTCAAGAATTTGTTCGCTAATAAGGAGAGGAATGTGAAATTAGATTTAAAGGAGGTGATGAAGGAGTATGAGGTTAGCTATGATGCACTTGTGACTGTGCTGGCTTATGTATACAGTGGAAGAATCATGGCTCAGCCGAAGGATGTGTGCATATGCGTAGACGATCAGTGCTCGCATTTGGGATGTCAACCTGCAGTTGAATTCATGGTGGAGATTTTGTATGCATCTTTCGTTTTTCAGATCAATGAATTAGTTGCTAAGTTTCAGGTATTGATTTCTGTTCATTTACATACTCCAATACTTTTGAATTAATTTTATGTACTGTCTATTTCAGATTTTAGTGTTTGTTGAATACTAAATAGGGGTAGTAGACAATAGCTTTCAGAGCATTGTAGACGATGATCAGCTAGGTAGAGATGAAGTTTACCGTGAAGAACGAGTCTTCTTTGGGTTCATTCAGTGGTTTTTAATATAAAATTCAGAAGACTAAAGGGGTAATTATTGAATGGATTAGCTTGGTGAGCCAAGATGAGCCAAGATACTTACCATAAGTAAGCATCTTTCAATTCTTCAGTTGAATTTTTGATGCCACTACCATATAAGGATGAAGCTGGATCTTTCTATTCTAAGTTATTGATGGCTTTGAATTAAATCACCGTAGTCTAATTTCCAATGACTTAGAAGAAACAAGACTTTTGTCTTCACACGAGTTCTCTCTCTCAGTATGAATCCTTTTACAGTTCTGGTAGCTGTTCGTTAAATTATTATGATGGAAATCAAAGTTTATGTTTTTATTAGTTTGCAATGTATATTTATCAAAATACCCAATATTTTGAAACACAATAAACAAATGAAGGCCCTGTATCTATGAAGCATAATTTACAGGATGAAAAAGTTGAATTCGATCACTGTAATGTAGGGCGAGGAATCTATGACGCATAATGTACAGGATGCAAAAGTTGAATTCAATCACTGTAATGTAGGGCGAGGAATATGTTATATATTAGAATTATTATTTGATTTTTATCCTTTGTATTCCCAGTTACTACTGTCATGGACTGATTCAGCACGGGAAGAATGAGACCATTACTCTGACATCCCTTGAGAAATTACAGATTACTTACTATCAATCTAAGCTTTACAGTAGGCCTCTGGCTATAAAATTAAAGATATAATACTCCTCTGATTATAATATGCCCTATCTGAATTTACTTCACAGTGTTGTCGGCCAAAACTTAATTATTTTACTATGAAGTTTGCCACCACCAGAGGGAAATCCTAGAGCTGTGCTTACAGCACTCAGTTATCTCTACACACTTCCATTTACATTTCCTTTCTAAATTTTTGTTGCATCCTGATTCTCCCTTGCAGAGGAAACTAATGAACATTCTCGACAAGGCTGTTGCAGATGACTTGATGGTTTTATCAGATGCAAACTTTTGTGGTGCAAGTTGTGAGAATTTACTTGCAAGGTGTATTGAGATTATTGTCAAGTCTGATGTTGATAACGTAACCCTTGATAAAGCGTTGCCTCACCACCTTGTGAAACAAATAGATGATTCACGTGTGGAACTCGGATTGCAATCACCTGAAGGCAACATTTTTCCTGATAAACATGTGAAGAGAATACACAGAGCCTTGGACTCTGATGATGTTGAGTTAGTCAGAATGTTGCTGAAGGAAGGGCATACTACCCTAGATGATGCATTTGCACTCCATTATGCTGTTGCCTACTGCGATGCAAAGACCACAACAGAACTTCTTGACCTATCCATTTCTGACATTAACCACAGAAATCCAAGGGGATACACCGTGCTACATGTAGCGGCAATGCGAAAAGAGCCCAAAATCATTGTATCTCTTTTAACTAAGGGAGCTAGGCCATCTGATCTCACTTTAGATGGCAGGAAAGCCCTTCAGATATCAAAGAGGCTTACTCGGGCTGTGGATTATCATAGAAGTACAGAGGAAGGGACAGCTACTCCAAAGGATCGACTGTGCATAGAGATTTTGGAACAAGCAGAAAGAAGAGATCCATTACTAGGAGAAGCTTCAGTATCGCTTGCTATTGCAGGCGATGATTTGCGCTCGAACTTATTGTACCTTGAAAATAGAGGTAAATGACCCCAGGGATTTAATTTTTTGTACGGTTTGTTACCTGTCATTATTTTCTGTTGGAAATAATGTTACTCTACCAAAGATATTATGAGAACGAATTACAAACAAAATAAAAAATCGAAAGAATTATAGGAGATGAAGGAATGACAAATATATATGAAGAAATTGATGGCTCAAACACAATTTTTGATTGTTGTCCTCAAACGAAATTTGCCCCCACTATTTTGGTGTTTAAAGGGTGATCCTGCAAAATGTTTGAAGGATTAATCAAGCCTTATAGAGATTCAAACACTAAACACTTGTTTGAATCTCTAAAACTTAAGAACACAAAGAAAAAGATGAATATGAGAGGGTATTTTATTTTTGGATTTGATCTCAAGAAGTATCAATATAATAGGTGTTTTTTCAACATTTTTCAATGACCCAAGATCACCTATTTATAGCCAAGTAGTATAGTTTTACAAAGTGGTGCACCTTATGGATGAAAAGTCACCAAAAAACCAACAAAAAACGACCCAACGGTCGTTTTTATGTACCATGCGGTCGCATGGTACAAACCCATGCGGTCGCATGGTACAACCCTACCGAGACC